CATATTGCCATTTTGCAACCTCTGGTATTATCTTCCCACCTCTTCTGTGGAAGGAAACCCCCTATCTTTTCTGTTAAAAAAAATCCCAAGAAACAGAGAAAACAGTAACTCTAGCAAGTAACAACAAGAGACATTACTATGGCCACAGTACTATAGATCAAGATTCCATTGAAATATTTTCTCATTTCTTTTTAAAATAATTTTTACTCTTTGATCCCATTAGATTGAAAATTGGGTTTGACTTGAAAAAGGCTCAGAACAAATTGATGAATACTAGTTCAAACATAACCTTTAAGATATTATGAGATAGGGGCACCTAGGTGGCTCAGTCAGGTAAGCACAGCTCAGGTCATGATTTCATGGTTTGTGTGCGCTGGCCCCTGCATTGGGCTCAATGCTGACAGTGTGGACAAAGCCGCTAGGGATTCTCTGTCTCTCTGCCTCTCCCTCACTCCTTCTCTCTCTGAAAAATAAACATAATAAACAAACAAACAGTGTGGATAAGCAGTTCAGCCAGTTTTATTTTTATTTTTTTTTCAACGTTTATTTATTTTTGGGACAGAGAGAGACAGAGCATGAACAGGGGAGGAGCAGAGAGAGAGGGAGACACAGAATCGGAAACAGGCTCCAGGCTCTGAGCCATCAGCCCAGAGCCTGATGCGGGGCTCGAACTCACGGACTGCTAGATGGTGACCTGGCTGAAGTCGGACGCTTAACCGACTGCGCCACCCAGGCGCCCCATCAGTTCAGCCAGTTTTAAATATCAGAGGAATTCTGGGGAATAACCAGTAAATTAACCAACTTGTGTAAGACTCTCAATTACTCTGTATTTCTAAAACCTAAATCATTTTTCACATTCCTAGCACATCTTCAGAATAACCTACAGGAAGAAATGTTTAGTTTAAAAAATACATGTTGATCTAGAAATAAGATGTGTTTTTTTCCTTTTATTTGCATCATTTTTATGTCCCTTAGTAGAGTTTTACATTATTATTCATTTAAGCTGTGTATATTTCTCTTTTTTAATGTTTATTCATTTCTGAGAGAGACAGAGAGAGCACAAGCAGGAGAGGAGCAGAGAGAGAGGGAGACACAGAATCCGAAGCAGGCTCCCAGCTCTGAGCTTTCAGCACAGAGCCTGACCCAGGGCTCAAACTCTAAAACCGTGAGATCGTGACCTGAGCCTAAGTCCGCAACCCAACTGACTGAGCCACCCAGGCACCCAAAGTTGTATATATTTCCTAAGTTTGTTCCTTAGCTATTTTATGTTTTTTCTACTTTTTTGAAGATAATTTTATCTGCATCATATTTTTTTTAATAATTTAAGTTTATGTATTCATTTTGAGAGAGACAGAGCACGAGCTGGGGAGGGCCAGAGAGATAAATATAGAGAGAGAGAATCCCAAGCAGGCTCTGCAGAATCAGCACAGAGCCCGACATACTGAAACCCACAAAACTGTGAGATCATCACCTGAGCCGAAATCAAGAGTCGGATGCTTAACCGACTGAGCCACCCAGGTGCCCCATATTTGCATCACATTTTCTGACATTTTTTTCTATCAAGTTCCATTTGTTGATGTAAAACATGCTTACACTGTACTACTGAGTGATAAAGGCCAGTGGTAGGGCAGTATATGTGCTTGTGTGAAAGATATGTTGTTTATCAAAAATCTATGTGGGATCTCTCTGTATTATTTCTTACAACTGCATGTGAATCTACAATGATCTCAGGTAAAAACTTCAATTTCAAAAAGGCAATGAGGAAGAAGTCATAAATAGCTAAGGTACCCTTATGTTTAATTATAGAAACAAATTTGGGAACCAAGTACAAGAATTTTTTTAATTTTTTTTAGTTTTGAGAGAGAGACAGGCAGAGTAAGAGTGGGGGAGGGGCAGATAGAGGAGACACAGAATCCAAACAGGCTCCAGGCTCTGAGCTGTCAGTGCAGAGTCTGACATGGGGCTTGAACCCACAAACCATGAGATCATGACCTGAGCAGAAGTCAGACACTACTGACTGAGCCACCCAGGCACCCCACAAGTGCAAGAGATATTAACAGCAGTTATCTCTGGAATATAATGTATGATGGCAGAGCTTTGATTTTTTTGTTTGTAGTTTCTGATTTTCACACAATTAATATGTATTATTTGTAAAACAAACCCAAACATAAGTAACTTTAATTCTAAAGTTGAATTTTTAAAAATGAATGTTGAATTTTTAAAAATGAAAACAAGCTATTTTCTAGCACGAAAAAAGGATGATCCTAAACTGTTGAAGAACCAGGAAGGATGAGGGGGGTGATGCCCTCCCCACTTGCAAACAGGGGGATGTGCCAATAACAATTCATCTGCTTACCGCCCTCACCTCGGGCTATTACATACATACCTTCTGCCTCACCCCTCCTGATCTTTTTCTGTCTTATTCCTCATCTTCATTTCCTCCCTCCCCATGCTTCCTTCCGGCCACCTCTTTTCCTGTCCTCATCTTCTCTGTCTTTTCCTTTCCTTTTTTCCTTCTTTCCTTTTCCTTTTCTTTCTCTCCCTCTTTTTAATTTTTTTTAATGTTTATTTACTTTTGAGAGAGAGAGAGAGAGAGAGAGAGAGCGCGAGACAGAGTGCAAGGTGGAGAGGAGCAGAGAGAGGGGGAGACACAGAATCCGAAGCAGGCTCCAGGCTCTGAGCTGTCAACACAGAGCCTGATGCAGAGCTCGAACCCACAAATCGCAAGATCGTGACCTGAGCTGAACTCAGACGCTTAACTAACTGAGCCACTCAGGTGCCCCACTTTCTCTCCCTCTTTAATTGGCTGTAATTGACAACCAAGGGGGGAATTTGTCATATCTTTTGAAAATTGTTAAGTATGTCTCCATTGTAGAAAAATTAAAAAGTACAGATGAAGTAAAAAGAGACTGCAATCCTGTCACTCAAAGATAATCACTAATAATATTTTAGCTCCTATTCATTCATAGTTTCCGTGCAAAAATAGCTATATTTTTATTTAATAGACTATATTATAAATATTTTCTAATCTTCTTTTTCACCTATGTCAATGTATTGCATGGGGGGTACCATAATATATTTAGCCAACCTTCAATCATTGGACATTTTTTGCTATTATAAATAACCCTGTAAAATATATACTGTGTGTGTGTGTGTGTGTGTTTGTGTGTGTACACAAACATATATATGTCCTTTGTATTGGTCCAATCATTTCCTTAGACTAAATGCCTAGAGAAGAAAACAATGGCCGAAGGGCATTCAGACATTTTTAAAGATTTCTATTGCCAAACTGCCTTACAAAATCAATTGTTTCTCAACTGACTCTCCCTCCTGCAGTACATGAGACTGCCCATTGCCCCAGTCCTTATAAACGCTACCATTATCATTACTCTCAGTCCTCATTGTATCTTTTGAATATAGATTCCTTTTCCTTGTGCTTAATTTTAGAAGCAGATAATCTGGCTGTTCAGTAGATAATTTTGATCTCTTAAAAATACTGAAATAAGTTGCTTTCTACTAGTGTGTGGCTGTTGGTAGTTTTCTTTCCTTTGGGTCAGGGCTCCTGATAGAAGTAAGATTCCAAACCCCTGTTTTACATCTTTTCTTCCCTCAATCTCTATCACTCTGTCCTTGGACAGGTAGCCCTCTGTACCCCATCCCACTCTTCATTGAAGCCCTCATAGTTCATTTTCCCCTAATTTTAGGCATCAGCTGCAAAGCATGAGTTCACTTATAACTGTTCAATTTCTGCCAATATTCCCATGATCATGATCGTCATTCAAATCTATAATTACAATTTCCAAAGTGATTTCTCATACGTCAACTCCTCACATTAATTCCTATGAGTTAGATTGGGCATGCACAAGCGTGGGCATTGGAGTCAAAAGGCCTGGGTTGAAATCCTGGGCTGTCACTTAATGGCTCTGAGCTCATTGTCTCTACCTGTAAAGCAGAGATAATAATACCTCAGAGGATTGTTGTGAAGGCTAAAGAACATATGGAGAGCTTGTAGTGCAATCCTGTTATTGACAGGTGCAATAACTGAGGCTCAGAGAACTCGAGGGATTTGTACAAGTCATATTCAAGCCCAGATAGTCTGACCCTAGAATTATGTAATAAATACCCTGTACCCACCACCTAGCTTTAAAAAAGAACTACAGAAACAAACTGGTCTCCCATGTGTCCTTCCTTAATCCCATTCCCCTTCCTCCTCTCCTCCGTCCTCCTCTCCTCCTCCCCGGGAATCACTATCTCGCATTTGGTGTTTATTATTCCTCTGATGTTCCTATACTTCTACTTCATAGTTATGTATCTGTGAGAAGCTCTGGTATTGCTCGATTGCTCTACATGCTTTTAAACTTCATATACACAATATCAGATTATGCATATCATTCTGAAACTAGCTTTTTTTAATACTCAATAGTTTTTGAGACTTACCCACGTTAATACATGGAGTGCTAGTTCACTTATTTTAAGCTCAGCTTAGCATTCTATTATAGGAACATACCATAACTGTATTACCCATTCTTTCATTGACTGATTGATAGATATTGAAATTATTTCCGATTTTATGCTATGGCAAATACTGATGCAAATACATTCTCATATGAATCTCCTCATAAATATGAGCAAGAGTTCCTCTAAATTCTTCTTAGGTCATAATATACAAGCAGATTGAGTTTTACTGGATAGTGCCAGTTTTCCAAAGTTGTTGTACTAATATATACTCAGACCAGGAGTGTGCAATGAACTCCTGTTGCTCCACTTGTTCACCAACACTTCGTATTGGCAGACTTTCAAATTTTTTCACAGTCTTATGTGTGTGAAATGTTATCTTATTGTGGTTTTAGTTTGCATTTATCTGATTACTGATGAGAGTGGACATGTTTTCCTGTCTTATCGGCTATTCTATTTTGTGCTTCTGCAAAGAGCTTATTCATATTCTTTGCACACTCCTATATTGGTATTTTTCAATTATTGATTTGTGGGAGTTCTTTACGTATCACAAAGGTGAAGCTTTTTTATTGAAGTATAGTTGACACACAGTGTTACCTTAGTTTCAGGTTAGGAATGCTAAACTTTTGTTTGTTACGTATGTTGCAAATATTTTCTCCCAGGCTTTTGCTTGTTTCAGTATTTATAAAGACTCTTAAAGAAAAGAAGTTTGAAAATTTACTGTAGTCAAATGTATTTATCCTTTTCTTCATGGCCATATGGTTTCAATCATACTACATTGTCTCTCCATGTCTTCCTATGAGCCATTTAAGAACTTCCTTTCTCCCTCGGGCATGACAGTTCACTCTCTTTTCCTCCTTTGCCTGCAGTGTTTGTCATGTTGACATGTGCCTTTCGCTATGGCCATGATGACTTGGACGTGATCGGTCTGACATTCCGCAAAGATCTGTATGTACAGGTGCAGCAAGTGTTCCCACCTGAGCCCACCAGCACCCAGGGGCCCCTCACAGTACTACAGGAGCGACTGCTGCAAAAGTTGGGGGACAATGCCTACCCCTTTACCCTGCAGGTACTGGCCCCCAAATCCTGGGCAAGGTTTCCAGGGAATGTTAAGAGAGGAAGCTACAGAAGGAAAACAAAGTGGGGGGGGATCCCTATTTCTTCTGTTTGCTGACCTCCTTCTGATCCCCTAGATGGTTGTTAACCTGCCCTGTTCGGTGACACTGCAGCCAGGTCCCGAAGATGCGGGAAAGGTGAGGTCTGGGTTCTGAGAAAGAGGGATAGTCAGTGCTAGGATGAAGGACAGAGGGACAAATGAAAAAGACTGGCAAAATGGACAGCTAAGGGATGGGGTCAGGCATTTCCTTATAGACCCAAGAGGAAAGGATAGGCAGTGTTAGAAGTGAGTTCTCTTGGCCCCTTCACCTTTGCAGGCCTGTGGGATTGACTTTGAAGTGAAGAGCTTCTGTGCTGAAAACCTGGAGGAGAAAATCTCCAAGAGGTAGTCTTTGGTCCTCTCCAGAGTCCCTGTCTGTGCCAGGAAACAGATCTTGATCTCAGGACAGAAACAGCCCAGCTTCTAACCTCCATAGTACCATTGCTACCAACTCAGATGTCCAGCTCCGATCCCCCTCTGACTTCTCTTCTTTGCTCCAGGGCAGTAAACTGACTTTTCTGTAAAGGGCCAAAAAATAAACGCTTAGGCTTTTTGAGCCCTATGGTTTCTGTTTCTGTTACAACTACTCAACTCTGCCATTGGAGTGTGAAAGGCAGCCATAGATAGTATGTAAATGAATGAGCCGGGCTGTCTTCTGATACTTTATTTATAGACACTAAAATTTGAATTTTATATGATTTCCACATGCCATGAAATATTATCGTTCTTTTGATTTTTTTTTCAACCATTTAAAAATGTAATCACCGTTCTCAGCCTTGGGCCATACAAAAACAGGCCAGATTTGGCCAGTGAGCCATAGTCTGCTGACCCACGGTCTAGATGTCAACACTGAGGGTCTACTGGAATTCTCTGAGGGAGGTTTTACCTCACCTCCACCCCAACCCCAAGCCAGGACTGGGCCATGGGGTTGGCATGGAGCTCTATGAGTCCCAGAGATGTTCTGGCTGACCTCTTGGCCTCTCTTCAGAGACTCTGTGCGGCTGGTGGTTCGAAAAGTACAGTTTGCACCCCTGGAACCAGGCCCTGGTCCCTGTGCCCAGACCGTCCGCCACTTCCTTTTGTCATCTCAGCCCCTACAACTCCAGGCCTGGATGGACAGGGAGGTTTGTGACCCCCCACTTCCTACCCCCTACCCTGCAAGCCCTCTGAAACCCTAATTCTTCACTGATTTCCTACTTGGGTAGACAGGGATGGAAGCCAGGGTGGCAATAGTGCTAAGGAAACAGAATTCTAGGTCTTGATCTGGGTGTTCTCCCTCCAACCTCATGATGAGCCTCTCCTCCTGCTCCAGGTTCACTACCATGGCAAACCCATCTCTGTCAATGTTTCTATCAACAACTGCACCAACAAGGTCATCAAAAAAATCAAGATTTCAGGTGAGTTTCTTTTCCTATCCCTCTGCACCTGGTCCCTAATCCACACATCTTTTTCCAAAATCCTGCCTCACCTATCCAGGCTGAATTTATCTAGACTTTCCCTTTAATGAAGGCTTATCAAAATACATATCTTTGTCCATAAGCATATCTTAGTACATCATGCATAGTGTAGCCATGAATAAGGTCACATCTGAGGGTGGTGAGTTGGGACCTTGAGGATGACTAACTGATTATAGTCATGTGCTTTTCCTGGCTGTTCAGTCGACCAGATCACAGACGTTGTCCTGTATTCCCTAGACAAGTACACCAAGACCGTGTTCATTCAGGAGTTCACGTGAGCTGGCACTGGGGCTGGGGTCAGAGAGCCAAGGGGTGGGTTGGTGGGAAAAGGGTCAGGGACTGGAAGCAAAGAAGGGGGTTCAGGAAAGAAGGAAGAGGGTAAGAGCCCAGGACTGAGGAAGGTCAACGTGAGGGCTGATGTAGAGAAAGGGAGGGATTCCCAGGAGAACTAGAGGGAGGATACCCATAACAGGACCATCAAAATGCTGAGAGAGGTCAAGGGCATAAGGATTTCCCACCAGAGCAAATTGTTCCCCCTCTGCACAGTCAGGCATGCCAGCTCTCCTGGATACTCCAGTAGGTTTGTGGAATTGTGCAAGATACTCTTGGGAATGAAAGTACATGTAATTGGCAAGCCTAGTCTAAGTTCTTTTCTTCTTCTCCTTTTAAAGGGAGACTATAGCTGCTAACTCCAACTTCTCTAAGAGCTTCGCAGTAACCCCACTCCTGGCTGCCAACTGCCAGAAACAGGGCCTGGCACTGGATGGCAAACTCAAGCATGGTGATACTAATCTGGCCTCTAGCACAATGTAAGCTCAAATGTAATTACCAGCCTCCATTTTCTATCTATGACCCATTCTGCATGCCATGTATACAGTTCTGAGGTTTCACCTGCAATGAAGTCTACCTATTTCTTTTTAAGTGGTTCTAGGCCAGTGTTCAGAGATCCCTGCAGGCCTGAGGGCCAAGAATAAGCTAAATAATGTCCACGGGACCAATGCCAGGCTTAGGTCACAGACAGCAAAAAAGGAAAGAGAGGAAAATTCTTTGCGTTGTCTAATATTTCACAGCTCACAAAGTCTTATATATATACTATATCTTTGTAAGAATCCCATTAAAGTAGGCTGGATATGTGTTCTTATTCTATTTTACACTTAAGGACCCTGAGGCTCAGAGAGACAAAAGGACTTGTCCAAATTTGCACAGCTAATAAGTGGCAGAGGTGGAAAGGATTCTACTATGTGTCATCTGGCTGTAGTGCCATGATCTCTAGAGTGGCTACTCTCTAGTGAAGACAGAAATGGAGTGAAAAGGCTAGGAGCTGAGAAATGAAGGAGGAAAAGGGCCAAAGAAGGAGAATGATATAATAGGAATTGATAGAATTCTATCCAATTATTCATTTGGCCCTATACCTTTAGAAGCCCTAGGGTTAGATGTGTCTTCCACCAAAAGCCATCTGCCACCATCTGACAAGTGCTCATCATCCCCTGCCCCTCTCCATGCCTTATCAATCTTATAACTATAGATTGTCATTGCTAGACCGACCCTTAGAAATCATCCAAACAGCATTATTTTATAGATAAAGGATCAGTATTCCAGAGCCATGAAGAGACTTTCCCAATATCATACAGTTTTCTGTGTCTTACTTTCCAATCAGTGAGCTTTCACTGAGTACCTGTTACATGCTCATTCCTATGCTAGGTAATATGGGAGGATATAAAGAAGTTTTAGATATGCTCTGCCTTCAGTCAATTTATGGCCTAGATGGGGAACAAAGAGGAATGCAAAAGCAATCGAAAGGTTAAATGATAGCACACATGGTTCAGATTAGAAATTCAACAGAAGTTAAAAGAAGACACCATAACTGGAGTGGGCTTCCCGGAGAAGACTAAATGAGCTAGATATTAAGGCATGCGCAGGATCTAGATAGCAACAGAGGAAGGAAAGAGCATTCCAGATTGGGAACACAGCATGGGCAAAGGCCAGAAAGGTGGGAATCTGCATGGCATGTTCTGAGTATGGAGAGAGGTTGGGTCTGCTCAGGTTGTATCCCAGGTGTTAGGGAGTTAGGGCAGAAAAGGTTAAAGAGGCTGAGTGGGGCCAGTTTGTTAAGGGTCGTGAAAGCCAAGCAGAAAGTAGTTATATTCAGAGATGTTGGTTCTTGAGCAGAGGGTGACATGGTAAAACTGGATGTAAGGAGCAGAAATGTGATTTCCATGAGTAGGAGAGATTAGAGCATGGGAGGCCTGTTAGAAAAGGTGCACAGGAAGGGACTGAGGGACTGAATAA